GTACCTGTAGCTTTTCTGGGTGGCTCAAGTTGGCTTCTATTGTGAGCTAATTTTTTGTGCTGGTCTTCCTAGGTGCCTCGTACCTCTGCCTTGCCTCATGGTAGGGTATGTTCTCCCTTACTGTAGCTGTGAATGCTTGCCGGCATTGCTGTAGGTAGGGGCAGCCTTGATACTTGGCACTGTGAGCACTAGAACAATTGGGGAATTTCCTGTTGCTGTTAGGCTTTTTAAAGTCAGTGTTCTTCTTGGCCAGTGAGCATTCTTCAAAAGGGTGTCACTTTAAACAGTATCGACAAATGGTGGTCTTGCTGAGACAGTTTGAAACCGTATGCCATGCCTTCTGGCAGTATGAGCTTTAAAGGATCGGCGAGATGTAGCTTTCTGGCTTCTGTGGCAGATTGTCAAAAAGTACCTTCATTGGTAGTGTTTCTCCTACTCATAGATCACAGCCTCTGTTGGGTTCACATTTCTTTTCTTCGGTCTTTTGGCTGTGACAATCCTGAGTCCTGGTTTCTCTGTAGCTGCTTTTGAACTTCTGTGTCAGAAAATTTAACATTTGCATTCTCAAAGCAGGACCTTATATCTCCCTTGACTCTTGAAGCAGTAACAGAGGACGCAAAGAAGAAGAAGCAGAAGAAGTTCTATGCTGGTTGACATCTTATACATCTGTTGTGCCTCTTATGCATTCTTAGCAGCAGTGTGAACACAATACTCCCAAAAATCCTCAGATCTTCCAGTGTTTTTAGCACTTTACTGACCAGCAATCCCAGACATTATTGTCTCCAACTACCATACTTTGTACATTGTAATTTCATAAAAGGTTGTGCAAATTCTAAAGTAGAATGGTTTCATATGTTTGAGAAAAAATTGAACAATATTGTCAGTTTACAAACAAAATGAGTGTTTTTTTCCCCTTTCCATGACTTCAATGATGTATGTCACTGTACTGTTAAAGTATCAGATTTTTTTAAAAACATTACTCTCCTTTGTACTTGTAGAAATGGCATGAATGTAGAGGGTGCTACACACAAGCAGGTGGTAGATTACATCCGATCAGGAGGAGATTCTCTTACCTTGACTGGTATGGGTTTTGTTTGACTATGTGTTTGATTTGTCAGCATTTGTTAATAATGGTGTTTTAAACATCAACATTTATTGATTATTGCTCACATCATTAAATATTCTTCTGCATGGATTTAAGGCTGCAATATTTGCTCACCACTCTTGTGTAATTTTTTCTAAAAGTGTTCTCACTGTGAATCAATTTTTAACATATTCTTCATCTTTGATTCTTCAATCCCTCTTTCTTTTAGGCAGTCTTTCTCTGTTGGGGAGCCGGGTGCTGTAACTGATAGGAAGGTCATGGGTTTGGGTCCTGATTTTTAAAGGTGACCTTGCTCCCAGGTTGACCCAGCCTTAAATGGCTATCAGTTAAAGTTATGGAAGTAAAGGCCGCTGGCGTGATACTGACCACATCACCCACCAAGTGCCGATTGATCTGTTCTAGAAAATATAGTTCTAGCTCTATATGCAGAATACACCTAGGTAGAGTAGAGTTCCTAAACAGAAGATAAACATCAGTCTGAACATGGCTCGTTAGAAGTAGTGAAACTAAAACTGTCTACAAGGGTAGTCCCAATCGGCAGAAAGACTGAAACCTCACTCCTGGGACAGAGGACAAGAAGGTAAGTCGGCTCTCCTTGCACCTTTGGAGCAATCTGGACGGCTTAGGTCGGCTTAGTGGGAGTTCTCTCCCTTGGCCGCATTGACAACAACGAGCGGAAAAGTCACGAATCAAATGACATACTTACCTATTATCATCCGGGTGCGTGTAGGGTTGCGTACAGTTGCGTGTAGGGTTGCGTAATCATCATACGGTTGCATGTAGGGCTGCGTAGGGTGTGGGTTAGGGTTAGGGATTGGGTTAGGGTTAGGGTTAGGGGTATGGTTAGATGTGAAAATGGTGACGTAGAACGTCCAAATACTGGGCGACAATCTGATGCTTGTGGGAGTGGCGCCACTAGAAGTGTGCCAAATATGACAGCAATAGCGCGCGGCTGGTGCCCAATCGGTGGCGAATTTTCCGTGTCAGTAGCATCCACCGTCCGTCGACTGTTTGGGTGTGTATGTGACTGTGCGCAATTATAGGGAACTACGGCGTCAAAATTGTCACATTTAACGCTAAACTTAACCCTACCTCTAACCCTACCCCTAACCGTAACCCTACCCCTAACCGTAACCCTACCCCTACCCCTAACCGTAACCCTAACGCTACCCCTAATCCTAACCCTACCCCTAACCCTACCCCTAACCACGCAAAATTATCGGTCATTAAAGCATACAGATCGGCAAAACACCAAAAAAAAAACAACCCAGATTTCCCCGCAGCGTCAAAAGAAAAACCCAGATCTGGGGGACACAACCAATCATTGGCAGCCCTGATGTCAACCTGACTGTCTTGTTTGATTCGTGACTTTTTCCGCTACTTGTTTTCAATGCGGCTAAGGGAGAGAACTCCCACTAAGCCGACCTAAGCCGTCCAGCTTGCGCCCAAAGGTGCAAGGAGAGCCGGTAAGTCTATCCTACAACAATAGTGGGCTGCTAGGACAAGCTAATTATCTTGTTGGCAACTCCTATGCCACTGAAATAATAAAAGAGCACCCGGAGAAAAAGCACACTGTCCGCTTCTCACTCACTCAGTTATCCTTCTCCTTACTTTCATACCTAATAAACATCGAGGTTAACATGCCACATCTCTGAGTTCATTTGCTTTCTTTGGGAATCTACTTTAGTTGAAGGTAATATCAGTATAGGTCATAAACAGAATAGTATGTCTGGTAGATTGCTCCCATAGCAGCTAGATTTCAATTCTCAATTAGTCATTTTTGTAGTCTATGCTGTTGTCTTTTCTTGAGTGCTACATAGCTGCAGGAGTCGCAAAGATACATTTGATAAAGGTAATTAACACTATCTTTTTTTTTTTTAATAGTTTGAACAACTTGGCATTCTGCTTTGTATCTGGCTCTGCTCTAGCCTTCCATTCATTCCTTTAATGGTCAGTTTCATGTGATTGCTTTCTGTTTCCCCTTTATATTTAATAATGCATAACTACATAGTATGAGCACGAAGCAACCTGCCTATTTCCACTGAAAGTAGGTTTCTTATTTGATACCCATAGTATAGAAAATTGAAAGTATGTGTTTATAAAAGTAAAGCAAAACTCAACTATTGTTCCAATATTGATGGTAGTCAGCCATTTACAGTTAAAACATCCTTTAGATGCCAAAAGTTAAGCCTTTTAATTTTATTTTAAAAATGCTTTTATGGGAAAATAAATCTCAATTTTTATGTCTAGAAGCTAACAATTCTAACAATCATAAGACTTCCATTGCTTTAGAATTCTCAGAGCTTACACATTGTATTGACAAAAAAAAACTATTTTGGGGGTAAATCGGACTATAAAAAGTTGATCCTTTGGGAATTTATTTTGGTTTACCCTAACACTATAATATTAAAAAGCATATGTAAACTCAAATTCATCTTCTGATCAGTAGAGGAAAGAAGGCAACATTAACATATTAATACATGTTACAAGATCTTCATTTCTTTTTAAAGTCCTTATCGTTGTTGCAGATTTTAATTTACTTGCATGTTCCGTAATGTGTATAAATAAATGAAATAATCTCTTCAATCATTTTTTTAAACAAAAACAGTTATCTCGGTGCCAGAACAAGTTGCAGAAAAACTTGAACCAAGTGATGACTCATCAGGCCCTTCATATATTGATTATTCAGAACGGAGATCTCTCCCAATATCCATACCGGACTGTAATTATGTGGACCATATGGGCGAAAGATATGTGGTATGGTATATCTTATACATGGTTCTCTTTGTTAATGTTTACATAAAATTGGATAACATGTTTTAAGAATAATTTTTGGGAATTTATAAGGTTAAACAGTTATCTCGGTGCCAGAACAAGTTGCAGAAAAACTTGAACCAAGTGATGACTCATCAGGCCCTTCATATATTGATTATTCAGAACGGAGATCCCTCCCAATATCCATACCGGACTGTAATTATGTGGACCATATGGGCGAAAGATATGTGGTATGGTATATCTTATACATGGTTCTCTTTGTTAATGTTTACATAAAATTGGATAACATGTTTTAAGAATAATTTTTGGGAATTTATAAGGTAACAGAATAAAAGTAGCTTTTACTTGACTGTAAAACAGGTAAACTGGATTGAAACACACATAGTAATGTGATGAAACAGTGCAGATATGATAAACAGTTTGTTACTTAAGTAAGACATAAAGGGAAAGCATTCACAAATGAGTCACCAGTATTCATAATTCTCTGTGAATGTCTGTCGGAGTCAGAAGTGGTTATACTGATAAATACTCACTAAGTATCTGGTTGGAGCAGAGGATGTCATGTCTGACCCCCAAAAAAATGAAGTCACATTTCTTTTATATGGGCATTTAGATGTATGAGAAATTAGCAAGATGACTGCCTTGCTGGCAGGACTACTGCAGAAAAGCAGACAAGCAATGGCCTTGGCTTATATACTGATGCCATTCAGAATGGTAATGCAAGTGAATTAAGAGATGACTCTAAATCTGTAAAATTGAACAGTCTGCAATAGCTGCAAGACATATGGTGTGAAACCAAAGAAGCACCAAGTGTTAGGCCAGAAATGAATATTAGATCATTATAAAACTTGTGTTCTCATTCTGCATTCATTTTGGCTTCATTTCAGAATAGTTCATAATGGGTTGTTGTTCACAGTTGCATCATTGTGGCTTGATTTTGAAAATTACATTATGCTTGCAAACTAAGTCATACATTGAGCTCGATTTGGACTTTTAAGGCTGGTTTTGCATGCAGACATTAAATCAACCAGTTTTTGGAACAGTTTAAGAGATTTAAACACTAGCTCAGTAGAAGTTTTAAAAGTGAGTTTTTGCATTAAAATATATTGTTATGTTACAGGTATTTAACATCTATATGGCTGGTAGACATTTGTGTTCCAGAAGATACAGAGAATTTGATACATTACATGCCAACTTGAAAAGAGAATTTCCAGACTTCAATTTTCCAAGACTGCCAGGCAAAAAACTTTTTACATTATCAGAGCAACAGTTAGACCAGAGAAGACGGGGTTTGGAATTATATCTTGAAAAAGGTACAACTTGTTCTTGTTTAAAAATAATTATTTTTATGTGAGTTATAATAAATGTTTAATTCTTGATGTAGTTAAAAAATGTGTACTTTAAATCTTGAAAATCTTACTTAACGTCTGAATCTTCTCTTCTTCATTTTTTAGAGTTTCCATTATGTTTTTAAATTTTCTTCTACATTATCATAAAGCATTGTTTTGTTTTATAATCTTGAAGAATTTTCCTGATATTTTTATCTTATGTTTTTGTGTATCCCCTCCTTTTTTTGGACACACCCCATGAAAATAATATATCCCACGGTTGAGAGAGAGAGAGATTGTGGGGGGGGGGGAAAAAAAAGGGGGGGGGGGGGGGTTATTAACAGCTAAGAAAAATATTAATAAATAATGTTAAAACACACTCTACCTGCCATTAATTTCATGTCTCATAAAAAAACAAAATATATATTTCAAATTATATTACACAATAAATAAATTCTTAGCAATCAAATGGTGTTGTGCCCACTAGCTTCCTGATATTATTGTTTCTGCTGTCTATACTCGTGCTGGAGCTGGGGGGGGGGGGGTGATCTCTTGGATCATACTTGATTTACTTTCTAGTGAGTGCCATATCCTCCTTTATTGTTTTACCCCACTCCTTTTGTGCCATGTGTACCCTGATTTAAAAAAAAAATTTGTCTCGATGGAAGGTCTTAAACACATTTTAATTTGCACATTTAAACTAATTGTGGTGTTCAGTTAGTGTTGTCAAGTTTAAATTGTTCTCTGTATAGAATTAACAGTAGATGTTTTCTTAAGGATTAACAACTGATGCTTACTTTAAGTTTAGTAACTTTCATAATCTGTAGGACCAAATTTGTTTGCTGTTAAAAGCTGTTAAAACCTCTATGTTAGTTAGTTAGTTAGTTAGTTAGTCTTTCATCTTGTGTTGAGTGCGGCACATAGGGCAGAGGTCATGACTCTCCATGCATGGCGGTTCGTTGCAATCTGTTGTAGGTCTTGGATGTTTGAGTGGCCCATGAGTGAGCCTTCTCTGATGATAGTTCTACGTAGGGTTTCCCTTGGTCTTCCACGAGATCTTTTCCCCTGTGGTGTCCAAATGAGGGCTTGGTAAGGAAGTCTTGATTTATCCATTCTAAGGGCGTGGCCGACATAGTTCCAGCAGCGTTTTCGTATAAAATTAGACACATACTCTTGCCTGGATTCTTGCCTTATTTGTGTATTGGTTCGGAAATCTGACCATTTGAAATTTAGTATTCTTCTAAGGCATTTATTTTTAAAACTGTCTAATTTTGTGTCTAGAGTTTTCGTTGATTTCCAGCTCTCGCATCCATAGGTTAGTACTGGAATCACACAAGAATTGAAGATCTTGAGTTTTGTTTGTTTGCTAAGTGTCTTTGATTTCCAGATGTTGGACAGTTTATTGAAGTCACTAGATGCCAGTGCTATTCTAAATGGTATTTCTGGTGCGGTATCTCCTGTAGATGACATCTTGCTCCCTAGATAAGTGAAGCTGTTGACTCTTTCAAGGCTGTTGTTGTTCAGCGTGATATCAACTGAACTGTTGGTAAGGTCTAGAATTTTTGTTTTTGCGGTGTTAATTTGGAGTCCAATTTGTTCTGAGAAATTCTGGAGTCAATTTATTTTTTCTTGGGCGTCTGTGTGTTCTGAACTCAGGAGTGCTATGTCGTCGGCGAAGTCTAGGTCTTCCAGAATTTTGTCAACCCATGTAATGCCTAAATTTGCATTATTTATGCACTTGTGCATGACCCAGTCGATTGCTATACCAAAAAGCATCGGCGATAGGACACAGCCTTGCTTCACTCCTGTTTCCACCGGGAACCAGTCAGAATTGCCGGAATCAGTTCTTACACAGCATTGTGTTTCATTATAAAAAGATTTTATGATGTTGATATATTTGATGGGGAAACCATAGATGTTAAGCAATTTCCAGAGTGTTTGACGATGGATACTGTCGAAGGCTTTTTGGAAGTCGACAAAGATGATCAATAATTTTGACTGGAATTCTGTAGAGGTGTATTGGGTACATAGCGTTAGATGTATATTTTATAAACCATTTGGCATGTTGGATGATGTGCTCATCATGCCGGCCGCCTTTACTTTCCAGGACTGCACCTGGTACCCATTTAAGACTGGGAGCCAGGGTCATTTCTTTAAAAAAGTCTGGCACTGCCATGACGTCTGCTGTATAAGAGTCAGCCATTCAGTAAGTATTGACAGACTTCTGAACGCAGAATTACCGAGTATAATCACAAACAGTCAACAAATTATGCCGTTGGTTTACCAAATCCTGTAGTTGATATAAACAACTTTTGTTTTTTTTAAACTGTTACATTTGCGCACATAAATATACTCGCATGCACGTACAAGCAGATAAATTCCACCATTCAGGAAGTTAATTTAAAAAAAAAAAAATTTTATTTTACCAAATTTTCATTGAGTACCTATTCTCTGCAGCAGTGTTTCCCAAACTTTTCTTAGTTGCGGCGCCATTTTCAGTTAAAATGTTTCCACAGCACCCTAACCTAAGTAAAAGTATGACTATTCGTAGGTAAAAGATGTAAAAAAAATTAAACTTGTGTATTTTTGAAAAATTACCGGTTCTCCTGTGAAGAGGTTGCGGCACCCACAGTTTGGGAATCACTGCGCTACAGTATTTTAATAATAATAATCAGATACCCAGATAGTGTCTCAGTGAAAGCAAGCTACAGAGCAGAGGTTGATGTAATAACTACTATTGAACTATTAACTACAAGTTTAACCTCATAGAGCTCAGTATCTGAGTGATTTTTCAATTATATTTTGTGGCTTCCATAATAAACGTAGGAATACATTTCATGTAAAAACAAAGACATCACATTAATAGGCACAGCGACCCACAGTGTGATAGTATTCTATTATTTCACTGTGACCTTACAGGCACAGTGACCTGCTGGAAGATAGAGAACTGAAAAACTTGCTATATCAAGAGCTGCCAAAGCAACACAAAAAAAAGGCATTGGGCAAATAAAATAGCTTGAATGTTGAATTAAAAATCAACATCATGGCACTCGGGACACACTCTTAAGCGCTCCGTCCCCGTTTTCAGCAGCAAGGAAAAAGTTCTGATGGTATACTGTATATCCGTCTCGTCTTACCCTGGAATGTTGAGCATTGGCCAGATCCCCTGGTAACTCCCAATAGCGCCATTCTCCTCAGACCGCAATGACCTGTATGTGCCTCCGCAATGTTCAGTCTTTCCCAGATGGCCTTCACAACATCTAGCTTTTCATACGTCAGTTCCCCACCAAGTGGTGCAGCACATGCCAGACTATCTGACTGCTCGCTTCCCAACACACCAGAATGACCTGAAGAAAATATCCAAAGGATACTAACTACCCATGACCTCTGAAGGGATGCTTACTACTCCACCTTTCTCAACATACTCTGTGAGTCAGTTACAATTATGACATGTGTGTACAGCTGATTATCAGTCCAGCAGAAGGCAGCACTGACTGCCTCAACCTCCTTTCTCAAACTAGATATGGTGATATCATATGCTAGGCTTTGTTGCACACAGTGTTGTAATTTCTATAACTGATCCATCAGATAAACTTTTCAAAATAGGGGACTTCAGTGGCAAAGTAGGAAACAACAGGAGAGCGTTCTCAAGATTTCTAGGAAACTGTGGCGCTAACAACAGCGAGATAAAAAAAAATAGCGAAAGACTACTAGAAATATGTGCACAATGTGACCTTGTAATTGCCAATACTTTTTTTAGCATAGAGACTCTCATGTGTTCGCTTGGTATAAATTTAAGGAGCCAGAAATAAAAAGCCAAACTGATTATATCCTGATAAGGAAAAGAGATTTCTGTGAGCTCGCTGATGTTAGAGCCATACCGAATATCAGCTTTGACACAGATCATAAAATGGTGACCGCAGATACACAAGTAAAAGTAAAGCCGCAAGCTAGGAAGAAGATATGTAATATTGAAATTATAAAATGGCAAGAATTAGACAACAAAGAAAAAGGGTAAAAATTATCCAGAAATATTACAAGATAAGTACAAAGCACTTCCAGATCTTGCACTTGGGGTGAAGGAGGAATGGATTAATTTTAGAGATACTATCAAGATTGTAGCACAGGAAATATGCGGAACTAAAAGGAAAGGGAAATCAGGGTGTAATATATCAACATGGTGGAATGAAAAAATGAAGGAAATGGTGAAAAAACAAAAAGAAAGCTTGCCATTTCTGGTTAAAACACAGAACAGAAGAAAACTACACAAGGTATAGGCAAGCCAGAAAAGAAGCCAATAAAGCAATAAGAACCGACAAGAAATATTCAAGGGTAGAAGTTTGGAGAAATGTTGGCAGCAGAAGAAAAAAGCAGCAATAAGAAACTACTACAAGAAAGTAAGAGGGATAAAACACAGCAATGAGGAATATAATCCAACAGAAATACTAAATGATGAAAGAGGACAACCTATTCTAGCACCCAAAATGATTCTAGTGAGATGGAGTAACTTAACTATTTTAAAGAACTACTAAATTTCAGGAATAAAGATAGATGACAATGCAAACAACAATACTATAACAAAGACATCAGAAGAGATAGAGACACTAGAGCAAGAAGTTATATTAACAGAATAAAGGCACAACACAACTGGTATTGATGATCTCCCTGCAGAAGCTATCAAAGCAGCTGGAGAAACAGGAGAAATGGGTCAGGCGAATTTCCCAGACTGCCTGGCTAGAACAAGATACACCAGATGACTGGCAAACAGCAGTAATTATACCCATATGGAAAAATAAAGGGAATAAGAAAGAGTGCACTAATTACAGAGGAATATTACTTGTAAGCCACAAAGGAAAAATGTATGCCAAATTAATTGAAAGAAGATTATGACCATTTATAAAAGAACAACTTTAAGAAGCCCAGATGGGTTTAAGATGTAACAGAAATTGCACAGATGAATAATTTTATTAAGACTGTTGACAGAA